AAACAAAAAACAACAACAACAAAAAAAAAACTCCAAGACAAAGGGCTACATTCAGGAATTTGAGTAGAGAAAAGTTGAAGAGTTCGCGCGATCCATTATCAATGATAGTCGTACAGTTGAAAGACAAGACGCTTTAGAAATGGCCGAGAAAAATCTGGCTTAATTTGGGGAATCCTGACAAAACTCCCCCAGCGAACTTTATATGTGGCACCGTGGGGCGTAACTTAAAGGGTTGAAAGTCATGTTTCGCGAGTAATCCTTTTAAACATGGTTCTATTTTTAGATAAGCGTATTTCAGCACCTTTTACTTTATGACTTTAAAATTAGTGTCAAGAAGTAGAAACAAGGGACGCTTTAAATTCCGGTTTACACTAAGAATGCTTCCAGTGGCAAATAACACCATTTGCTGGTTGTCGATTGCATCGAAATGTGATTCTTTTTCCAACACTTCATCGGAAAAAAATAGGAAAATCTCTTAAAATCGTGTCCCGGTGGTAAATGAAATAACCTTGAGTTATCATTTCGGACATCATTCAAGTCACTTTTTAAGGAAAGTAACCTAACCATACTAACGGAAGAGCTACTTACCTTCATAACCATAACCATATTAACACACTTTTTATTTTGAATTTTAACACAGCTCATTCACCGAGATCTGGCCGCAAGGAACGTGTTAGTTGGTGAAGGCCTGTGCTGTAAAATCACTGATTTTGGGATGGCGAGAGATCTGGGGAAAAGGGAAATTTATGTTAGAAGATCTAATGTAAGTACGCATGCGAAGTGAATGGCTATCTCGCATTCACTTCGCTTTCTCCTTCTCAATCCTATGCGATGTTCATTACCTCTTTCTAAAACACACAAGAGCCCAAGCTTGGTACGGACAGCGTAATATAACTTTTTTAAATTAAAAACAGGATCCTTGAATACTGCAATTCGAAAGTATGCGAGTTTTGGGCCGTTGTTAAATTATTTTAGTCCAGTTTTCAATATTTTGGGGGAGTTTTTAATAAAAAAGTTATTCCACTCGCGTCTCATCTCATATCATGTCCGCTCCCATCTCATATCCAACGCGTCATTAGGATTATGGAACAATTGTTAAATACCATACCATAGAAAAAACAGCCGATATATATTCGACATACGAGCCTTAAGGTGAGTGTGTATACCAAAAAATTACAAGTGATAAGTGGGATATTCGATGGTACACCACAAATAAGTGTTGCATAACTATTTTATAACAGGCCATGAAAAATACAGTGGACAACATAATCAATGCGACATAAGCGCAGCGCACGACGGGAAGGTTGAGTATAATACTGTTGAATATACAACGACTTTCTCGTATTCTGATCGGCTGTATTTTCTATAGCATGGTATTAAATGGACTTTCCTACTTTTCACTTGTATTTTCTTGTTCAAGGCTCGTGTATACCAAGAAACGTACAAGTGACTCGTGGAATGTTCCGTGGTATACCACGAGAAAGCGTTGCATAACTAAAATTTTGACTCTGCATGACGTTTGTTGTAGCAGGACTAACATGACGCGCCGATTATGAGAAAAGGCCGTCTGTATGCGCGTTGCTACTCCATATGGGGTTTTTCGAAATATGGGATATTCAGATGAAAAATTAACGGAATATAGGATTTTACATAGCCACGCGGAGAAAGGAAATTTCTCTTCGAGTGTTGACAAATGTTTCACGAATGAGCGCAGCGAACGAGTGCAATATTTTTCAACACTCGAAGAAAAATTTTATATATCTCCAATCGGCCTATTTATTATATCAACACCAATGAAATACTAAACCATTTAACTTTCGCTACGAAAGGCGTGATTTATTACGGTGAAGACTCCTGTTTTCGCGCGAAAGCTCACCTGGTATTTAATATAATACAGAATATTTGGCGAAAATATTAATAGGATGTGGGGTATTTAGAACAGATATCCCGAGTTATCGAGTAGGTATTTTTGAAATTGGAACTATTTATACGGGATATTTAGGCTAAAATAGGCTCCTCCCCCTAGAGGGGCTCTTTTTTGTTGAGCAGCAAAGAAAATAATTAAGCATTTTTTTTTTTTTTGT